AGAGTTCAGGAGCTGCAATCAGGTTAGCCAGTTGTAGGCCGGTCATTGAAGTCGTCTACCATACAGCTTGTTGGAAGATGGGCGCATCAGGATCTGCCACGGCCTCGCGAACCTCGGCATCGGTGGCATCAGGGCGCACAATGCGGTACTGGCGCTCAGCAGCCGCCTGCGAGTCTCTCCTAAAGTCTGCCTCGAGCGTCTGGTAGCGATTGATGGTCGCCTTGAGTCGGCGATCGACCTTGCCCACCTGTGGAGCATTTCTGGGGCTGCCCGACTCAGGCTTGGACTTGATGTTCTTGACGCGAGTGACGAGGGCGCGGTAGCCCCTCCCATCCTCCCCCCAAATCTCCACCGCCTCCCTCCCATGCACCCAAACCTCACCCATCATCCCACCCGCATTCGCACTCGCGCCACGAAGCGAGCCTCTGCGCCGTGGCACAACAAACAGCCAACCCCGCCAAACCACAACGTTATGCGGAGGCGCAACCACAGGATCCCAAGGGCGATTCAAGAGCGCGCTCGCGCGAGCCAAGAGGGCCGTATACGCTGTGTAAAGCAAGTGTGGGGAAGGAGACGAGGAAGAAAAGTCATGGGAGAGAATGGCAAAGGGGATTCCGGGGGAGAAGGAGGAGTTGCGGGGATTTTGAGTGAGAGAATTCACAATGTGATTGAATGCGTGGGGTGGTCCAGGGAGGCCTTGGAGATGTTTATGTACGCGACTACAACCGCCGTCTTCGCCGCAGTTGTAAAGCATGTAGATGCTGGGGAATAGGCGCATGGTTTCCAGGATGACGGCCATGTCGTCCATGTCCAGAGCTTCGTGCTGTCGCTTCCAGCTGTTGGTGGTTGGGAGGAGGAGTTGCGGGCGCTTGACGCAGAAGAGGTTGAGGGCGAGGTCGTGGGTGCCGTTTAGTGTGGTGAGGATGAGGCGTTCGTCGGGACAGAAGAGATCGCTGCCTGGACCCCATTTGCGGGCGTGGTGGAAGGCGGGGTTGGAGGCGCCGATGGTGTGGGGTTTTGTGGCGAGGGCGGGGCAGATGCGGAGGGTGAGCTGGTTGGGGAGGTGTTATTGGAATGTTTGGGTGTGGTTGTGGTGGTTGGGGGGGGGGGAGAGAATAGAGTGGAGTGGTCGTACTGGATAGCCTCGGGCTTCGATAGGGATGGTATCGTGGGGGCCGTAGATGATGACACCTTCGGATACTAGTTGGTCGAACCGTTCGATGAGGATTTCTTCGGTCAAAATGTCCATGTTTCCTTTCCTTGATTTTTCTTCTTCCTGGGTTTGGGTGTTGAAAGTGAGGTCTGGAAAAGGTAGCCATGAGCTGTTGTTGGGGGGCACAACAGGTATGACGTGCCCAAAACTGCGGCCCGTGCCTGCATCTACGCACCCTAGTGGTTTTCTGGCTGTTCAGTGTTCACTATGATGGTCAATTGTCGAATATCCTCCTCTCCCTCACAACTCGAGATGGTATAACAAGAAAAATGATGGAACAAGACGAAGATGGATTTGAGATGATTTGGCCTACACTAGGGCAATAACGAATTCCTAGCCAAAAAAAAGACGGGATGAAATGCAGACGCCAGCGATAGGAATGATGAGCATGGGGCTCAGAGAAACGAAACGGGCACTCTTTCATGAATGAGAATAGGGTACTATCCGCCCGTCCGCCGTCCAAATCAAGTCTTCCCAACTATGCCGCCGTAGGAGACTCGTAACCGTGTGTGCTCTTGCGCGAGATTGAGGGGGTATCGTAGTGGTGTGACCAGTGTGTGTGTGTATGTGGGTTTGCGCAATGCAATTCATGCCTTCTCTGCTTCGACCGTCTGCGACGAGCGAGGTCTCTCTACCAAGACATAGTCAGCACTGCTATGTGACGAGGGAGTCTCTGGTAGCGCACCTGCTAGCGTGGGCGTCGTTTGTGTGTTGGCGACGGGCGACGGGCTCTGCTCGGCCTGGTCGGGGAAGACGGCGTCGACGGGGGTGCGGCGCTGGCTGTCCTTTCGTCGCGGGGGCGAGTTGCCCTTTGCTTGTTGTAGTCGCTCTTCGGCGGCGCGCAGTCTGGCCTCGAGGGCTTGGAGCTCTTGTGTTTGTGTGCTGACAGCTTGCTTCCTGGAGGGAGAAGGGGAGATTTTGTCAGCTGAAGCCGAGGCACGTGGCACAGCAGCGTGCGTACTTTTGATGGACCGTCTTGTCCAGGGTATCAAGGTCGCCGTCCAGCTTGAAGAGATGATCCAGCTCGGACATGAATTGGAGAGCTACGGTTCTGCAGAAGCCATGTCAGAGGAGGGTGGAGGGAGGAGGGGAGCGGGAGCTATGCTAGCGTCGGGAGAGAGCTCACGATTGCGGACGGTTCTTGGGCTTCCAGCCGTGATCAGGGTTCTCCATAGCGGTCGACATTTGGCTGGGGCAGAAGATAGGCAGGTAGTGTACTGGGCTGTGGCGGTGGCTGAGGGCGTGGACGTGGACGTGGACGTGGACGAGGGGTGTGGTGATGGGCTACTGTCTACGTGTGAGGGTGGATGAATGGGCTTATATGGGCCGAGTGCAGACGGTCAAGACAGGAAGACGCACACGGCGGCTCCAGCAAGGTGACGAGGAAGGTTTCAAGATGCGCAGGCCAGACCTGGTAGGAACAGAGGAGCATGAATGGGCCTGTCTTGTAATAAAAGATTTGTGTCGGTCACAATATTAGGGGGGGGGGGGGGGGGGGAAAGGAGATGGCCACTGCTCCTTGCTGATTAGGGCGTAGATCACAGTGGAGCGGCGGAGGGAAGGTTGATGTCGACTGCAAAAAGATGGGCGGCTGCAAGTCATGCGCGCACGCAACCAGCAACCAAGCTTTGGTCAGCAGGGCCCGTCCCATGGGCAAAAAAAAAAGAAAAAAAAAGGACGCGATAGGACGTGCAGAGGCAGAGGCAGAGGCAGAGGCAGAGGCTTTGCATGTGTGAGCGTGGGTGTGCCTGGGTCATTCTTGTGATGGAAGAGGCAGCCCGAGTTGGGTTACCGGGAGCTGCTAGTAGTATGTACTATGTACTGGAGTAGAGTAGTAGACATGGACACTTTTCTCTCTAGGGATACCGAGATAAAGGTGAGAATGGTGGGATGGTAGTTGGTGTACCAGGTACCTACTCTACAACAAAGCCAGCCCATGGCCATATCAGCAACACTTGTCATTCTTCTTCGGCTTGCCTGGGTGCCTACATAATAGGACTACTACATGCACAGTTGTACTCTAGGACTGTGTGCGAAATACTGCGACGCCTTCCTATTGGCTGACTGGCTGGCTGGCTGGCTGGCTGGCTGGCTGGCATGCTCCCATGCTACTGTTCCCGTTCAGCACAGAGAGACCAGCGAACAAGAACTGACCGACGCCAACGCCAACCATCATAATTTCCTTCCTCATCCATCTCCAACCCGCCGCCGCCGCCGCAACAATCCATCCTTTCCCACCACACCGCAACCAGATGAACCCCCGCTCGTGAACGCCCGTACTTCCTCCCCCTCCTCCCAAATTCCCGCCCCTCTCTCGTCTCGCCCCCCGCATGCGATGCCCGTTGGCCCCCTGAAGACCGCCGTTGCCCGTCGCTCGCCGCGCTGGCTCCCATCCCGCCGCCCCAGGCCCATCGCCCTCGTCGCGCCGCAGACGCTTCTTGGGGGATGACCGCCACCCTCTCTGCCTACACCAACCTCGAGTCGCTTCTACTTTTCCAGTGTCTACATGCCTACGGCCTCGACAATGCCGTCTGGGCCAAGATCTCGGATCTGCTCAAAAACACGCCCGACGTGACGGAGCACAAGTACTTCCACGCCGGCCGTCTGACTCCCGATGCGTTGCGCAACTTTTATCTCGAGCGACTGAGGAAGGAGCTAGAGTACGAACAAGGCGGCGGTGGCAGTGGCAGCGGTGATGGCGAAGCACAGAACCGAGACGGCACAAACGCGAGCAAGCGAAAGCGACAAAGTCCAGCCCTCCCCACCGTCAGCGAGTCCGTCAAACATCAGCGCCTGATTCCCAAGCTGGTCGTCAAGCTCTACGCCTCCTACCGCAACGAACTCACCGAGCAGATCAGGGCCGACGAGGATCGCTACGACAAACTACAGCGCGACATTCAGACCATCCAACGCGGCGAATGGGACGACCAACTGGACAAGAGGGCCAGCCGCCCTTCCTCTGTCTCACAAAGCCCTTTGCCCAGAAAATCTGCACATTTGCCCCAGCAGCAGCAGCAGCAGCAACAACCACAACAACCACAACAACCACAACAACCACAACAACCACAACAACAACAGCAGCCACTTTCGCAGTCTGCGAGTCCTCAGCTTGCACACAATGGCCCCCGAGCTGGCTCCATGCATGCGCCCACACCAGATCCACATGCTGCCTCACGTCCGTCTGCAAGCGCACCCTCTCCACAACAGGATCCTACACAAGGTCCCCCATCAGGCTTCCAGCCACCGCTACAACCCTCTCCCTACAATGGCCAGTCCTACCCCCCAGCACAACCGCTACATGCCCCACAATCACAGCCACATGCGAGTCCACACCAAAAAGCCGTCGCTCATCCACCCTATGGCCACGCGACTGCATCCCCTGGAGCACAGTATCAACCGCCCTATGCGCAGCCTTATCGAGGTAATGCAGCTCCTCCCTATGGGTCACCGTCAGGAATCCAGCCTCTTCCAGCCTACCAGCAGCAGTATCTGCAGCAACAACAATCATCCCCTCACGGTCCACAGTCCCCAGGGATGCAGGCAGCATACCAACAACCGCGGACACAATACCAGCACCCTGGCCAACCGCAGCACCCTCCTCACTCCCACCACTCACAGATGAGTCTTCCACCGCCTCAGGCTGGCTTCATGCTCCCACCCTTCCAGGTCTTCTCACCCCAGGATCCATCACGCGCACACCACCAGCCGCATGGCCCACAGCCTGCTCCCCAAATCTCGACGCCTGTGAGCAATCGTTCCCAACCGCCACCGTCAAAGGCCAATGTTCAGACTCCCGGAAGTGCGAGGCAGGCCGTGCCGCCCGTTCACCCATTAGTGATCCAGGCCAGACAGTCTTTCTCCACTCCCACAAGTCTGCGCTCTCCACACAGCGCTGGTGGGACTCCCGCGTCTGCAAAGAGTTTCTGGAAGCGACAGAGTTTGCCCAGTGCCCCGGCGACGCCAGCCAGTTCGCGTCCAGATATCGAACCTTTGGACGATGTGCCACCCTTGATTCAATCAGCGCCACAAAGTCCGACCATGGCCAAATCGCCAACCAAGTCACGAGGGAAGGCCAAGGAGAAGGAAAAGGAGCCAGCAAAGCAGCCAGAACGAGCGTCAACGCCGCAATCTTCCTCCAAAGGAGAGGCGAAGCCGCGCAACGATCAGGAAGAAGAGTCTTTGCCTGACCCAGAGCCACGATCCGGCCGCTCACGGCGAAAGGGCCCTAGTAAACGGGGAAGACCTGGAAGTCTGGCATCGTCTCGAGCAGGTGGTTCCGTACGAGATCGCAGTAGGAGCAGGTCCATACTCTCCCACACGGAGACGGTAGCGGGCGACAACGACTCCCAGGCGGCACAAATCAAATCCGAGCGCGGTACCTCGGTCGATGCTATCGAGGAAGAATCCGCTGATACACCCACGCATGCCTCTCGTGGCCGCCGTCGACGTGCCACCGCCGCCGCCCACACAACAGCCCCCATCTCCACCCGACGGAAACGCAACGCGCGCGAGGCCTCGCTCGAAGAACCCGACGACCAATTCAGCACGCCAGGCCCGCCCAAAACCATCAACGCTCAACGCCATTTCTCCCGCATGTGCGCCCCCATTATGAACGATATCAACTCTCACAAGCACGCCTCGACCTTCACCACGGCCGTGCGCGCAAAAGACGCAGAAGGCTACTACGACATCATCAAGCGGCCGACGGACCTCAAATCGATTCAAAAAGCCATTGCCAACGGCTCCAAACTCGTCGCCGCGGCCGCCACCGACACCCCCGCCGGTAGTCCCGGCGGCGCAGGCGGCGGCGTCGTCGAACTGCCCAATACGGCCGAGCACGTGCCACCGAAGAGCATTGTCAATGCGGCCCAGCTCGAAAAGGAGCTGATGCGCATGTTTGTGAATGCAGTCATGTTTAACCCGGGCGAGGACGGCGTGGTCGAGGATGCGAGGGAGATGTTCAAGACGGTGGAGCAGAGCGTGAGTAATTGGCGCAATGTGGAGAGGGGTAGTGGGAGGACGGAGATTGAGGATACACCGGTGGGTGGGGAGGAGGGTGAGGAGGCCGAGAGGGGGGGAAAGAGGCGGAAGGTTTAGCTAGGGAGGGTGGATGCTGTGCGAGTGATGGGATTTCCAGGACAGCTTGGGAGGGTGGATGATGTACTCTATGCAAGTGTGTTGCAGGGTCCTGCCGTGGTGAAGAGAAACACTCGGCTGGCTGGGGAGATGTCGCGATGGAGATAATCATTTGAGGATTCACTCTCAATGCACCCGCTCTCTCGCTCCGTGTGCTACTTTCTGATGTGCATTCTTTTTTGGCCTCGCGCTCGTCCGAGTAGTTGCAGGCACTTTAGTTTGGATTGGAGGGAGGTGCGGGTGGTGTGGTAGGCCTATGGTTCGGCTCTGGTATGCCTATGCCTATGCCTATACCTATACCTATACCTACACCCAGCCACTATAATCTCCTTTCCTCCTTTCCTCCCTCCCACCCTATTCCCTCTACAAACCCACCCTAATCCCACACCAAACACACCCAATTGTAGATATTTAGAATGCGCATCGCTGTCCTTGGGGTTAGTGGGTGTATGGAGGTTAGGGAGCAGGGGGTCAAAGCTAAAACTTTGGAAAAATTAGGCGATTATATATAGTATGGGATGTGGTCCTTGGGGTTTTGTTTTTGTTTTGTTTTGTTTGGGGGGGTTGGTTGGTGGTTGGTGGTTGATGATTTGGCTCGGGCGTCTTCTGGCTCGTGTATTTTTGGGGTGGGTTGATGGGGTGGGTTGATGGGCATTGGTGGAGCGCGCGGCTTCCGTGGAGCCACTTCCCAAACGCG